ACTCTCACCCCCTTTTTTTTTTTCAAATTAAAAAAAAAAAAAAAATTCACGGGCCAGCGGGTTAACCGCGGCCCGTGAAGGTGCAACCCGCGAAGCCCACAGGTCACACCTCCTTGACTCGTGACCCGCCCGCTCGGGTTACGGGTCGGCCTGCAGTCCCGGGTTGATCCGGATCGGTTTTCACGGGTCTGGCTGGCCCGTCTGTCTTGATACCTCTACCCAGAATGAGAAATTTTACTGAAAAATCAGAATTCACCAAGAGAACAGAATACCAGTAAAGAAGTACATCATAATAATTAAGTACGAGATCTATTCATCACTCACATTGGAAACCAGATGTTATATGCACACGAATGATAGAGTAGTTAATTGCATAGGGTTGCAGAATGATGGAAATGAGCTGTGAAGAGCATGATAAACTAGCTGCAAAAAGTCAATTCCTCACCCACACTATTGGCAGGTATACATTCTTCATGTATTGTCCAAACAATTAAAAGAAAGACAACTAACATTATAGATTTCTCCTATTTACAGGGTCTTGTCTGAAGTAGGAATTGAACCAACATCAATAGACACAAAGGGATTTCAGAAGCTCGTTCAAGTGGTATGCTCAATTTCTAATACTTGCATAAATTTTTCATTTTCAATCTTTATATAGTAAACTAATACAACTTAAACCATATCTTTAGACATTAATATATTGAAATACATGATGAAAAAGGGTGAAGATAAAATATAGATGAAGTATAAACGCACTAACACGGAACTACTTGCAGAAGGAGAGCTCAACAAGAGACAGTTTTGATCTGTTTTGTGGCTTGTTTATCTATAATAGGTTTGCCAGACAACAGGTAGGGAATTCTCTCCGATATCCAACAATAAGTTTGTCTTCTAATCATGAATTTAACGCAATTCAAGAATCTGAGTTTTACAATTCATGACACAGCTCAATAACCTAGAACTTGCTTTAGAGAGCGTCAAGCAACAGCTAATAAAGAGGATGAATGACGAGCTGGATCAGAGCACATACACACCTTATAACGGATAGAGAAGGAGATCAGCAGATGAACATTTTATCATTAGTCTCTTGCTATCTCGGGCCACCGAATGTAATTTGAAGTTGATAGCAATCTTGAGTGAATTATCATATCATTACCATAAATAAGTGTGACCAAAATTCTTCGATCTGTACATTTAGTTCCCAATATGGGCCCTTATTTGACCGTTCCAGATTGGTTAGTTGAATAACTGATTGATGATTTCAGCAATGCATAGCTTAGCTCATCACAATTTTTGAATGCAGACATGAATCCTTTGTTCTCAAAAATCTGGTCTCTACTAAAAAATGAACGTGGAGAACATATTCAATTGTAATTTTCACATTTCCACTAACATATTCAATCATATTTTTCACAAGAAACATAAAATTGAACTTTTAATAACCTCAAGGCATTAAAACAGCAGGGCAAGTCTTAAACATCTGTAGCTTCAATACAAAATTTAGATATGAATTATGAGGTTCTTACAAAATGATATGTAGAATGATCCGTAGTTTCGGCAATATAAAATTGAGAAAGGAATTATGAGTTTCTCAAAAAATGATCAATAGACTAAATTGAGTGTGCTATGTCAACAATGATTCTGTGGTGTGGTTTTCTGCTTCTCATCATTGTGATTGACTGTATTATGTAAGCTAGCCAAAATTTGAAGAACACAGTATGCTCAAAAACCGGAACCCATTCCTTAATGGTCATGCCAGAAGCTATACACAAAGTGCGACAGGAAATTTATCGTCTATTGACTGTTCATTTCATCAATGTTTGCATCTTCTGAGATGTTGCACTCTAAGGCAGCATTATTTGAAGAATCTGGACCAGGAAAGGGAATTTCTTCACTCTTACGTGCCTGAAGTCCTGTATACCGTGCAAGATCAACCCATTGCTGCAACAAAAAAAGAATGATAAACATAAGCTAACTATTAAGCAGAACACAAAGATAAAAAGTAAAAAATACAAAATCATAAGAGTTTAAAACCAACCCAACCCCATCCTTTTACACATTATTAATTTAATTTGTGTCTAGCAGCAAAAAATCTGCAAGTACACAACAGCAGCCTATCTTTTTCAAAATTTTACTTACTGCAGTCATGACAGGTGTATATAATCGGAAGAAGTTAGATTCAGATAGATGATTTATACAGAGTTCAGAATCAAGATCGATGCAACCAATTATATTTCACATAAAAGACATGATCATGAAGGTAAAGTTAAAATTCAAAACATCTGATTCTAGATGTTTGAGAACACAGATGTTTCTTACCTGAGTTCCCCAGTAAGAGTTGATTGTTCGTGCCACAAAAGATATCATATTTACAAGGAATGTCTGATCCTCGAATTGTTCGGAAATTCTATGCTCCAATAATCCTGCAATAACCTGTATACAAATCAATAGGAACATTAGTTTCATTGCATACTTGGAGTTGAAGCTTGTACAAATAATATACAGCTGGAAAACTGTGGGACCACAAGAAAAAAATGGCAGGCGGAAACTATAGGAAAACTTATGCAGTAGGTCCTATGGCTGAATGATACCTCATCTAACATATGCAGCAATGATACAAATACAACTTACCACTATGCACATATACAGAATTAACCACTATCCACTTAGGAATGCCAAATAAGACAAAAATCAAATGGTAAACAGATGTAAAAAAGTTAGAATGTTAGAGGAAAAAGAAAATCTCACTGAACCTGATACCGTAGATTTGCTGATGTTCCAAGAAAGCATCCATACACAAGTGCTGTTTTTAATATAGGTGATCGCTTGTTCCGTTGCTTGCCAGAGATGGATGCATTTAGAAACTTCCGCACTGAATACAATATATTTGAGGAAGCCACTGCTCCAATGCTAGAAATAAATCCAACACTGGCTAGCTTGAGACCCCCAACAAGTACTGATGCAATTCTGTGATTTGAATTCCAGTCCTTCCCTGCAAGACTTTTCTGAAATGCATTGTCCGGGATGGACCCCAAAAGACCTTTTAATGCTTCCATACTATCAGGTGCATCAATGTCATCAGCGATTTGTAGGAACGAAAGTGTGGGGGCGGGAAGCCACACAGTGAAAAAATCAACCACTATTCCCCTTAATGTGTCTGTAGTAACATAATCAAGCTCCTCAAAGAAATTTTCTTTACGCCTCTCATACTGTGCTATAAGGGTAGTCGTGATTGATATAGCTTCTTCTATAGCTAACCTGTGCAGAAATTTAGGATCCGCTAATAATCTCTCTCTGAAACCCTGCACAGTGATGCATCCTTTATCATTTTATCTAGATGAAATTAGAAGAAGGGCAAAACAGGATACACTAAAGTTAGCTTACCTGAAAACGATGAGTCAGCTTCGAGATGATAGGATATTTCTCCAGATCAATAAAATTCTGCAGCACTTCTGGTGATACTAGACCAAGATCTAGACCTTTTTGAAGGTCCTGAAGAACGCATCAAATTTTGTCATAATGGTTTGAATAAAGACGTACTATTTCAGGTTAAATATCTCAACACAACTTTTGACTCGTCACATAAATTGAACTTCTATTCTTTCTTCCATGATGCTTTAATAATGAGTTCAACACTTAACTGTTAAGTTGTGAAATCTAATTATTGTCGATCCTAATTATTGCCACTTTGCAGAGCTAGTCGCAAATCGACCTCTACAGTGAGGTCGCCATAGGGGTTGGAAGGGGGTAGGAGGCCCCTCCAGGGGTGCAGGGCCACAGACCAAAATTTAATCTAAGAACTGAGTAAGAATTTGTATTCTTGTAAAATTCTATAAAGGAATTGAAGTCATTGCATAATTTGATTTTGTCCTAATTTATCTTATAAATAGCGAGCCGTCCTTAGACTTTATTATTATCATTAAAAGAAAAAGAGAGGGGGAGAAGATAGAAGTTCTATTTTCTCTTGTAAACCTTTTTTCGTCATAATGATTGCTACAACGGCAGAAGATGATGTAGTCTCACATTGAGGATAGCGTGTTTTTGAGTGTTTATTTTTCTTGCTTCAAATTGATTTCTTTCAGTGGAATAGAATCAGGGTTTATAATTCTCAACATGAACTTGAAACCACAAATCACTAGACTAGCCGATGTCATTCGTAATGTCTGAGGAAAATGTCTAGGAGACAAAATTGGAACCTCACAAAACTTGAGAATGCATCACACTGCAATATCTCCAAGTCAATTTTAAACAATTATTGACATTTAAATATAGTTACAGATAACGAGAATGGTATGAATCATATCAGTCGTTTAAAGTTTTACGTATCATTGGCCTAAACTTAGATTAAACAGTGACTCTTCAATTGATTGAGGTTAATCTCTAGACAACTTGCAAGGCTTTCAACCCAACAAGGAGCTTAAATCCTATTTAAAAATCAATAAGCCAAATACTATTTCTTAATGACAATAATCAGGGTACTACTTGAAATTCTTACAGCTTAAGGCTATACACCACCACAACTTTAAGATTCATATGCTCAAAGCATTTGAACTAAACTAGATAAGAAAGGAATCCACAAGCAAAATATTATCAAAAAATTAGATTTTCTTATGCAATTTTTTTAGCCTTTCATTTACATTAAAAGCTGATTCTTCAGTTAAGAAAGCCAAAAGTTACAAACAATTATTGTTGCTTTAAAGTTTGTACACATTTGGTTTTGCACTCAACCTAAACTGAAATAGAGTAGTTACACAAGACAAGATACCATCATCCTTGAATGGAAATCTAGTACCTAATAAAGAATTGAAAGCATAGAATCCATCTGCATGCCTAAATTAGAATTTTATTTCGTTCTCAATCAAGACTTGAGATTCCATCTTAATTAGCCAACCTTGTTAAAAGAATAGCCAAAGTCCTTACATGTCGGTTATCGTTTTTATTCATGCACCCACAAGATAGTGGCTCGTTTGATCATTATGGGTTCTAATACCATGATAAACCACTTGATATGAAAGTTTAAGCTGTTAAAAACAGTAATATGTATAACATTTAAATCTTATATTCAACATGCGCACTCCCGTGCACAATATTAAATGAATGGTGGACACACTTGCACTCCGGTGCTTTGCCTGCTCTAAACCATATTATGATTTAAGGTTTGTGAAAAATGCTGATTGTGTGTAACAACATTAAAATTTATTGAGCCTAATTCTTTCAGATTTGATTAGATTTCTTACCAAAGTGTGTAGAGAGTAGTTTCCTATTTTCGTGCAATCTTTTATCTAGATTTCCCCCTTTAATACTTGACATAAAGAACCTTATATATTATATTATAAAAATAATTAATTGCAAGGTGAATTTTTTAATTCATTTTCTGTACGTTTTCAACGTTTCGTTTTAAAAAGTCAACATTATTAAAAAGAATAACCCAAATCCTTATATATTGATTAATGTTTTTATATCTAACTGATGTAGAATTTACCCTTAACATTCTCATATTGGAGGCTTTAATCCCCAAGTACTAGAACTTTTTGACGCACAAGTTGGAGTGGGAATTCAATATTTATCTCAATATAGCAATAATGAATTAAATTAACAAAGTATTTTATCAAAATTAAAAGTCTAACTTACAAACAAAATATAAAATAGATCAATAAAGTATAATAAATCATCAAATTAGTAATCATTTCACAAATCGATTATCGAATACTACAAATATAAATACCTAATGTCTTCCATAAATCATTAGGATATTTGATTTCCTTATCATTCTCTATGTCACTATTAGTTTCTTCCTATTAATTTCCTCGTAATCCACTTGCAATAGCTACTTCCCCTTCCCTACAAATGTTGAAAAAAGAACAACAATACAGAGACAACAACAAGGAAAACACAAAAGAAAGAAAGAGTAGGTTTCTTGTTACTAGACATTTACTACTGAAAAGTTTCAACTTCACTTAAGAAAGGGTTATCGCAATATAGTTATAGGTACTAGGACACGATTTCTTCACTTGCTATCTTCTCCGGTTCTTTTTCTAGTATTCAAGGTTAGGTTTTGTTTAAAATAGCCCAAACAAAACCTTAGACATTCTTGGCTATAATAAACCAACCCAAAAAGTTGAGTCCTGAAAAAAAAAAAAACAAAAGTCCAGAAAAAATAAGACTGTCAGCCACAAAAGCCTAGTAGTTAGTCGAGGAGTAAGCCTAAAAACATGGTACTCAAGGCGTAAGTTTTCAGGAGCTTAGTAAAGGCCTCATGTTGGAGGCTAGCCTCAATGCTTAAGCTTGCAGTGCTTTTGAAAACAATGATAAAGTGATAAGCTATTAAGCTCCTTTGGTTTTTTGAGGATGTGGTTTCCAACCACAAGAGGATTATCAGCCTATCCTGTTAGAATAGAGGTCTAATAAGTAAGAATATTTAAAGCAATAAACTGCATTAAATATTGGTTTTCTAACATAAAGACAATCTCGAAATAACAGTACTTTTTATGATATTTATGAATTTTCTAGTTTCATTTCCAAACACTAACTAGGACAGTCATAATTTTGTTCGTAAAAGTTTTTCCTTATGTCCTCTAACAATTTAAACAAATCAATTTCTTTGGAGCACAGACATATACATGATTTCTTCATCACACCATAGAAATCTATGATTAAGATGGCAAAGCAAATTGTTGCTTAGATTAGTGGAACTCACACAATTCACTAGAGCTGCTACAGCCTATTGATTTATATAGGACAAGACAATCAATATATCTATTTGTTTTTTACCTTTATATAGTCTTAAGGCGCTCCCTCTCTGAAGTGATATCCAATTTTGATAAACTTGCTCTACGTGACTTAGAACATGTTTGGCTAAGCTTAAAATCCAATTAAAATTGAAAATATAACCATTATTGAGTCTCGCTCGTCTAATAAAAGTCAACAATAACGGCTAGTTTTTCAATTTTAATCTAATTTTAATCTCTACCGAACACGCCCTTAGATTGATTCAACTTGTCTTTGGCTATGAACTGTTCATCTTGGTAAACATAAAAATGCTAACAATCATTGTTCTCCAGGAAAATATAACCAAACAGCTCAGCCACCAAAATGTTCAAAGTTTTCAAAAACATACCTAAAAGGCCATGTATACGAAAATGTAGGAGTGATCATGTTTCCTAAAGGACCTAGGAGGGACTAACTAACCTGTGGTAAGGCTTCTCTCTTCCAGCCAGCTGCATTCATCACTCGGGCTATTTCAGCACGATCAAAGCAATTTCTATTGCAAGGTCTGGCTCCAGAATACCACAAGAAATCAGCAACTGGGACTTCTCCCTCCCTCCGTATATTTTGTCGTTCAGGGTCAAGCAGTATAACCACTTGATTTTTCTTCTGCATTTTCCTTGAAATCCTTGCCGGAAGCCCAATTCCTCTTGACCCATATTTAACATGGCTAGCACCCGTCACTACTACTAGCATACCATTAGATCCACCAACTGTCACAGCTTGTAAAATAGTCTGGGACATTGTGTAATCCTCAACCACTTTTGCTTGTATGGACAGATATGAGCTTGGCCCAAAAGGAGTAGATTGATTGGGAAAATTTATGTCAATAGATGATCTCCGAGAGATAGAAGTGAAACCTGAGATGAAGCCTGAACCAGCTGGAGGAGCATATTTTTTACGGTCAGATTTAGAAAGCCCACGGACGCCTTCAGCTTGAACAGTGCGTAGGACCTATCGGACAAATATTACAAGGATAATATTTGATTTAGTCTAATTTTTTTCATCTTTAACGAGGGGAACATAGACATTGTAATCAATTTGGAAGAGAAACCTTAGAAGATTAACATAATTACAGCTAGTTATATAAACATGCCTAGTGATCATAGAGATTATTATTCTGCCAATCTGAAAGATAATGATTATATTAGAAAGAGATACATCAAAGAAATCTTACACTTGAATTTTTTCTGGAAATCTAATATTAATTATGGAAATAAATAAATAAATAATGATTGCATAAGGAATCAACATTTATCATATCATGCAGAATTTATATAAATATGATAAACATTAATGCAAGATAAAACTTATTTTATGATGTTTTCTTTAAACAAATGGATCCATTCCTGTGAAAAAATCTCACACTGGATGATTTGAAGATCTTCCTGGTTGATATTTATTCTCCCTTCATCAAGTACGATTAACATTCTAAATAAGAAAGCAACACTATGATTATTGCGTCACACAAACTATTTGGTTTAAATAAAAATCAGATTTTTAGTAAATTTTAAAAAAAGTTGATGGAATGTGTCGTTGAGAAGTTGTAGGTGGTTAAATTAATTATTGAATTTAATGTAGATTTTAATCTAACTTCTTGTTGAACCAAATTGGGGCATGGGATCATTTTAATTGAACTTTATATGTGTATGCCGTACTCCTCGTCAAAATATAACCATAATATAAGATTTCCATTAGTATCGATAGAATTAGCACCTCAAGTGGAACTCCACATGCAATCAGCCGAACCCCATTATCACGACAATAACTTAGAAGAGGCTCGTACTCTTGCCAACGCTGAGCTGACCAATGTGTTACCAAAGACTTTAAGGTCTCTTCATCAATCCTGACATGATTTATCCCAAGATTAGAACTACAAAATGTCAGGAATAATTTCAATTAAACGATAATCAGAATATCAAAAATATTAAAGCCCCTGTTTCATTTAACTAAACCAAACGGGAAGAATAATATTTCATAACCTCCAAGTTTCTCACAGAACACAAATCATTCCAGTTCGTACACAATTTACATATCCAAATCCTCAGATATAAACCATAATCCAGCTGCGATTGATGCTAAACCCAGGTTTAATAAGCCTGTTTACAGATAATTGTGGATTTGAAAATGGCAATTTTTCGATGTAGCCCATGTACTTCCAACTGAATAATTCTAAAATTATAATTTACTGATTCAAAACTGTACTAAATCGTTAATGTCATAAAATGTAGATTGAAATTTTGCTTTCGAGTGAGAAATTAAACCCTTTCTCCATGTACTGATTGAGCTGTCCCTGTAAGTTGCATGGAAAAGCTTCCAGAGCCAAAGAAATCGGGCGATCCGCTTCTAGGCATCTCTTCATCAAATTCTTGACTATATCAAACTCCAACACTTTGTCATCCCGTGTGGGAACCTGCTCCGCTTCCCCTAAATACACAACCCGAGCATTCATAAGCTTCTCCCACACCTTTCTCTTGTCCTTTCCGAGAGCCATTGGCTCTCCTATCACTGTAGCATCATATATCCTCGAATTTATCACCTCCTCAACCTCCGACGGTGGCGGCGTAGTAACCCCCTCCGCCGTAGAACTCACCACCTTCTGCGTCTGCTTCTCTATCTCCGCCGGTGACATATCTTCAGCATTGGCCACTGCCGACCGGAGAACACAAGCTCCAATGGCAATGAATGGAGTAATAATCACATCCCGCCTTTTCGCCTGATGACGACTGGCAGTCGCAGATACCCTCAGTGGCCGGATGGAATATTCCGGCGCATAATTTGTCAAATTCTGAT